TTTTCAAATTCCTATCGCGACATGAGCACAGCTGATCGCTTTTGCTTTCGCAAATGAAAATTATCAATAGCAACAAAACTCATTAAATATGTAAATAATAAAAGTTTTCCACCGCTGTTGTTATTTGCGCTCCAGAAAAGCCTTTGCTCCGAAGAAAAAGTAGCTGACTCCATAGAAGGACAGATGGAAGAACAAGATAAAATAAGACCCAGAAAAAATGCCAACATTGAAAGTGGTCTGGAACAAAGCTACGCTTATGTAGATGCCTATCTTTGTTGTTTTGACAGTGTGTGCTTTAAGCTCTTTATTGTTGTTGTTACTTCCATTGCTGCCACAAAGTGAGCACTTACTTATAAGTGAGGCGAAAAGCGGGTTTTAAGCACCAAATGTGGTCAAACTCAATTAGAAGCCGCAGTGTAGATAGAGAGTAGATGAGAAAACGTGGTAAACATGCTTCTAGTCGCCGATGCAAGAAGGTGTGGCAAGTGCATGAAATGTGGCAGTGGGAGAGGCGATGGCGCATGAAAACCTGTATGCTGGCACAAGCCACAAGCAAGTGCCCCAAATCAGCGGCAATAACATATTTATTGACGTTAGTGGTGGTGGCAGCGAAAGCAATAAGACAAAAACAACAATGACGGCGGGAATAAAGTCAAGCACTGCCAAAACGTGTTGTAAAATTGAAATCAACTGCAGCAAAACTGATTGCAACTGCGGCAGTGGCACGGAAAATTGCCCAGCAAGCGAGTGGGCAACCAAGCGCAACAACAACAACAATCACACCAGCAACGAAAACTTGTTAAGTGGCGCCCCAAAAGTGTGGCAATCAGCTGCGGCACAAAAACACTCACACACACGCACAGACACTGACGTAAGCGAAACAATAATGTGCAATCGACAAATGTTGCTGGCAGCTAATGGACAAATGGGCAGCTTTGGCAACAACAAATGTGGTAATACAACAAAATCAAATATGTTGCACGGCCAACACAGCAGTGGCATTTGCGGCGCTTGGTAGCGCATGTGGTGGTGGTGGCAGCATATGAAGCTAGCAACAACTTTGGGCATAAGTGAAACGCCTGCAATTGTCTACAACAATAATAGCAAAAATGTGTGCAACAACAGCAATCTTGTTGAACCACAGCCAGGCACTTTAGATTAGGCACTTTGGCGCGCTCGAGCATGCGTGTGTTTGTGCTCTTAAATGTGTGGTGGGGGCAGCAAAATTGTATTGCGGTGGCAACATGTGGCATGTGGCAACTTAGCAACACCAACTAAGTAACTAACTCGTTGTAAGAGTTGGTAAAATGTTTGAGCGATCAGCAGGTTGTCTCCAGATGAGTGTGGATATGTGAATATATATGTATATAAGTGCATACATATGTCTGCATGTATGTACATGTGTGTCGGTAAGTGCAAGTTAATACCGACCAGCACTAGAATAAGTAGTTATGTGTGTTTCAGTCGCAAGATTCACTTATTTCCCATTAACCCAATATTTCTTGTGGTTTCCTAAGTACATGGTGCCTCTAAAACGTCTTCTCTTCTCTCTCCTTCTCTTTTTTAGCGGAAAATTGCATTGTCACACACTCGAGAATCGCTTAGGTCATAATATTTCCAGACTTTTTTCGTTATTTTTTTGCTTCATTCCAACTTTGTTTCATATCTTTTACGTGTTTTTCTTTTGCGTTAATCGTAATTATCGAACGACTCCTTAAAAACTTTGCGTGATTTGGTTATATACTCATTAGTTATGGAATCATGCACAATGACACATAAATTGCTAAATCATAATACTGTGTGTTATGTCATAATATTACCATCGGTTGAAACTTTCTGCTGAGTTAAACTTATAAATAATGATGCATATAAAATTTAATACAAATTAAAAATCAATCGTTGTTCTCAAACATACCACAAGTGGTGAATTCATCTACGAGAAACTTGTTAAAGTGAATTTAAGATTTTAAGAAATTAAACTTAATTCTGCTGACTTTACATATGGTGAGTTTCGGTGTGGTGTATTAAATGTGGTGAGTTTTAATGTGGTGGTTTAGATGTGGTAATAAAGGAATCAGATGCATATGAAAAGATATGTAGTGGGTTCATGTTCAGTAACTTTAGTTATTAAAAGTTCCTCTGTGCTAAAATGTAAAAATATAGTGAGTGAGTTATACACTGGGGTGCAAAACAGTTCGGTTTTCAGTGCTCTAACATTTTAACTGTGAGCTCAAACGTTACCAAATTTGAAGTGTTAGTTCTTTGTTTAATCTACAACTAAATTCTAGTACTAATATAATTTCAATAACTAAAGTGTAAGGATAGCCCTAATAAATCTAAAACAAACTCATTTAGTACAGTTTTGCTCGTTTTATTAAATATGAAACTAATATGCTTTGAATTTGATTTGATGCCGTAAAACATAACTGTAAATAAACAGTTACTTGCGCCGAATTCATATTTTAAACGTGCAACTACTTAGCGTGAGTTAGCTTTCAGTTTTAGTTGATTATCAGTTGCATAAACATACGTTATTAGGCAATCAGTGTTTTCATACAAAATGCAAAAAGTTTCATCCGACGTTGAAGCAAAGGTTGTTTCTTTGACAAAAAAGTGGCCTTTCGATCCGTAAAATTGCTGGTCAGTTAAAATTAGCTTTGAGCAGTGTTTTGGCTATAATAAAACGATGCAAAGTCGTTGGTTTTTCGAACGTGGAAGGACGCCCACGATTGTTAACAAACGCAGATGCTAGGCAAATAGTCAGAAGACTCACTACTGCGGATAATAGAACACCAAAGCAGGCTGCAATCGCCATAAATAAGATTGTCAGCGAATGGACCGCTCGGAGAGCTCTTCAAAGGATTGGTTTTGTGGCCGCCGTTAAACAGAAGAAACCTGCTTTATCTGATAAGAATATTAAGGCGCGACTAAAGTTTTGTAAGGAACATAAAAACTGGGCCGTGGAAGACTGGAAAAAGGTTATCTGGTCGGATGAATCGAAAATCAATCGTTTCCAATCGGATGGCAAGCAGTATTACTGGCGTCGCCCACATTAAAACCTTTAACGACATCATTTGCGACAGACTGTAAAATATGGTGGCGTCAGTCTCATATTATGGGGGTGCTTCACTTGGTGGAACATTGGTCCGTTAGTCAAAATCGCTGCAATTTTGAAAAAGAAGACTATTTGAATATTTTGCAGTCAAATTTATCGGATTTTATAGACTAGTATGTTTATCCAGAGGAAGAGATCGTTTTTCAACAAGATAACGATCCGAAACACACCGCCAAAGTTGTAACTCACTGGCTCCAATATCAACGATTTCAACCCGTCGATTGATCAGCACAAAGTCCCGACCTTAACCCGATTGAAAATGTGTGGGCTATTGTAAAGAGAAGATTGTGCAAATACCGAACAGCGCCGAGCAATATTGAGGAGCTATAGAAAATTTATTTTGAATATTATTTTATTGTACAATAAATACATAAACCTATCGTGAAAATTTGATAATATTTGAGCTGTCGTAAAAAATTTTACAGCACTTAGAATGTAAAAGTGGCGCACATCCGAACGGTTTTGCTCTCCACTGTATGTATGTGATTAGATGTATATTTAGCCATCTAGTGAGTGTATATAAATATGGTGAATTTAGCATGGCACGTGATTGAATAAGAAGTGATCAGTTAACATCATGTAAATATCAGGCGTAAAAGACCGTTTTTGTGGTTAGAAAATTTATACATTTTCACCACGATAATGATCCTTTTATTTACATCTATTCTTTTTATCTGTTGCTGAAGGCAATCTCTGTCGAGACTTATGACAAGTGCATGTAAAATTGGATATAGCGTTGGCATGCTTTTTTTTTGACTCAGGAGCCTATTTTTTTGTCATTCCGGGCAAATTTGTGTTATTATTAATCCGAAGGGTTGTGCAACTTTCGCTCATCAGTCGGTTGAGTGTCGAGATTTAAAAAGTTTTTAAGCACTAAACAATATTTATAATTGGATTTATTCATCGCAAAAATTAAGATTATAATATGGTGTGAAAAATTCTGCTGCTAAAAGCCTGGCTCCACACACATTTGCATACAATTTTATTTCCAAATAAATTTTGTCAAATTGAACAAAATGCACCCGACTACCTCTTAGTATAGCTCGAAAATGGTTCAACGCTTATTCTGAGCCCTATTGGTTTACTGAACCTTATAATTATTAAGTCAAAGATTGATACAAGTTTTTAAGAAAATCTCAATGTCAATATTACTTATGTAAACTTTTTTTCCAAAAATTACTGAAACAAGAGCAGAATGCCCTATATATGGAATTATCGTCAATCCATCCTTTTGGTTGTTTTGTACCTATATACTGTCAATCGGTAATTTGTGTGAGTTATCTCAAGAAGTAAAGCTTTGAACCCAGTCGAACCACATCTTGCCTTTGCTTCAATAATTTAGAAGTTTCAGTGGACGTACTATATAGTAGATACCAACCAACTTGACAACCTGTACTATCTGATAGTTAAAGATAGACCTGCCGCAGAGCAAACGCTTTCAAGAAATCTCCGAGAGTATTTATGTTATAAAAAAAAATCTGCTTGAAAATTGGTCAGTCATTAAAAACTGAAAAATGTTGTCTGGGATGATGGGAGAGAAAGTTCAGTTCAGTATTAAACAAAAATTTTCGGTTATGTATACGAATGTAAAGTTTTTTGGAAATATTATATATGTTCCTTTATATAGTCCTAACTTCTAGAACGAAAAGAATACCTAAAGTTTTCAAAGTGTTGAATTAATTAATAAAAAAAATCATATTTATATATTTTAAACTTAAGTTTTAGAATACGTTAAGCTTTATTTATTGTGATTTAGCTTTATTTATTGTGATCTTTCAGAATATCGAACTTAAAGATTAATGAAAATATAATATAATAATGATATTCCTTTGAAAATTATATTAAAGCAGTAATATTTAATGAATATATTTTCCTCCATTTTCAGATCATCGTCGACTCAACGAATACATATCGCACTTTGAAGTACTCAACTATGATCATGAACACATCCGAACTAGTCACAATAGAGCAAGACGATCCGTGACCAAAGATCATCATGTAGATTTAAAATTTTCAGCACACGGAAGACACTTCCATCTTAGGCTAAAGCGTGATTTAAATACATTTAGTGATAAATTAGAGGTGCGTATAAATTTCGAAAATCAGTTTTCGTCATTTTTTTATTTTTATATCTTAAAGAAAACTTACGCAAAATTCTAATACAATTAATTTCCATCTCTTTTACTCTCAGTTTTATGATAGCAACAATCTCCCCCTGGATGTGTCCACTGATCACATCTACGAGGGCGAAGTGATAGGGGATCGTAATAGTTATGTATTTGGTTCCATACTGGACGGGGTATTCGAGGGTAAAATAATAACAGAACGTGATGCCTATTATGTCGAACATGCCAAACGATATTTTCCAACAACAAATGCAACAGCAGCAGCTGCGAATGGCGCACAAATGCCATTGGCGCAGCGACGCGTCGCAGAGCAATATTTTGGAACAACAACAACAACAACATTAACGACGTCGACGACGAGCGCAACAAGAACAACATCGCCAGCGCCAGCGCCAGAAACAACAACCTCCACAACAACGGCGAGTATGACGACAACGTCTGAGAGAACGTTGAAAGCATCTCCAACGTCCGGCGGAAATCATAAAAACGGACAAACTGATGACAATCGGAATACTGGCTTCCATTCCATTATTTACAAGGACTCACATGTTGACGATGCTTACAAGGACGTGCGTGAAGGTAGGAGCCGTTTTGTTTATGTTACATTCACTTATATTGTTGTTGTTTTTATACAACACAAACTACTCGATAGTAATCTAGTGCTGTGTAAACACAATATACTGGAAGTAAGCACTATAATTTGTGTATATGAGTGAGATGAAGGAGGAATAATGGCGCAGGGTAGGAATTTAAACGATAGATTTTGTCAATATCATATTAAATAGTATTCGCATGCTTATCAGAGTTTACATTTATATTGACCTAAGTAAAACAATGTTTTTTTTATTGAACATATAAGGTCTAGTAAAAATTTTAAACCATTATTTTTTCAATATATGTCTTTTGTGTTCTGTATCTCGCGTTGAAAAAACGATCGGATAAGTTATATGACAATAGAAAGATAGAAAGATTTTGACAACTATTGTAGAAAATCTGAGAAAGTTTTGTGATAGCTTGACTCATTATTGTTTAGTCACACATCAAAAATGAACACCAGCAAAGAGAAAACACGCCATATTTTAAAATTTTTCTTAGTTAACGGCCAAAGGCAAGACATGCGGCTGAAAATCTAAATAGTATTTATAGTTCTGATACAGAAAAAGCCTATCATGAGCAATTTGTGGTTCATCGATACCGTGTCAGTAATTTTGATGTCAACGATGCACCACAAACTGAAAGACCTACTGTTGAAAGTATCAATAAATGGAAATTTTCGAATCCAACCGTCATAAAAAACTGTTTCGATTGGCCAGGAGCACAAGAAACAGTTTGGAACCATTTAAATAAGTACGATGTATGAATGTCATACAAGTTAACGCTAAAGAACCGCACGGACCAAATTTTGGGCTGCAAATCGCTGTTGAATCGCAACCAAATCGATTAATTTCTGAAGCGATAAATACTGGTGATGAAAAGTGGGTAAGATACAACGTCAAGCGAAAGTGGTAATGGCCGAATTGGGGTGCGCCGACGCAAACGGTGGCCGAGGTAGGATTGACTGTCAGGAATTTCCTATGTAATAGGGGATTGGCAGGGAATCAACTGCTACGTACAACCAAACTCTCGAAACTGTACTGTTAACAATTGGACCGCCTGAAGTAAGCAATCGATAAGAAGCGGTCAGCTGTGATTAATGGGAGAGGAATTGGGTTCCATCAGTACAACGCTAAGCCACACACGGCGATAGTGACTCGCCAGAAGCTCTAGTAGCTTGGTAAGGATATTCTTATGCATCTAACTTTTAGTTTGGAAGTTGCAGCAAGTGATTACTACCTGTTCCTACATGTGAAAAATTCGCGTAAAGAGAAGCCTGTGAAACTCGATTGTCCCAGTTGTTTCCAATAGGAACGAGGGCCTGGGCAATCCGGAATCCTCGTCCACTCCGACTTTTTTAATGTATATAATATATGTAATTTGGATGGTAAATAACCGCTAAGTGAGAGAGGCAGTGAACTTTTTTACAGATGGGTCAAAGCAGCAAATTTCAAAAGACACTCTATCGGTCATAGAAAATAACTTAACTCAACCTTATAAAAACTTTCCCCAATCAAATTTTCTATTGAAAGAGGTGTGAAACTATTAACTGTCGATACAAACGCTTACAAACTTATCGATATTATTAAATAAACTTCAAATTGTATTGAAATTGGTGTAAAATTATTAATTATCTATTAAAAACGTATCAGTATTATTGAATAAACATCTGAAATTGATGTGTTGAAAGTGCACTTAAAGCCCACATAACGGCAGCAACGACCCTCGCGATCAAATACTTCGTTCCTTTATACAATTTGATTTACCGTAAATGTTAATAAAAGTTTCTTTTCAAAGAATTTAATCATAACCTCGAAAAATATACGCGCCGTGCTAACGCATAATTTGACTTCATAGTCGCACCATTTAAGATACTCATTTTAATAGCTGTTACCCAATGAATTTAATGGTAGTCGCCGCTTATTTTATCGCCAACGCGGCTATACGCTATTTTATCGATTTTCGCTTTTTGCATAATTAAATTTACACTTACTTTGCTGCTTTTTCGTTGCTATTATACATAAATGCTGCACACAAAAGTGCACGCGCATTAAAATGTCAAGCGAGGGTAAAGCTACGAGCTTGTAAAGAAATCCACACACACACAAATGAATGTTTATAGCGTTAGCGAACAGTTATGCTTGCAAATATAATACTTGTTCATGCTAATATGTGACTTACTTAACCCCAATCGACATTAGGGTTTGTATGTGTGTATGTGCGTGTATAGCTGGCCAGTCCTTTGGGTCCTTCAAAGTTCTCTACCAAGTACACACTTTTCGCACCCTTTTATTTTCCGGTGCGTTGTTTAAACAACACATTAGCAAGAGAGAAGGGTGTCAGCGTAAAAAAAAATTGACGACAACAACTGCAACAGCGTTGAAATGCAGCCACTTCCTGAGTGCGTACTTATAGTCGTATTGGCGTCAAAGCTTCACGAGTGCGCAATGTTTGCGTGGCGCCACAAAAAATGGAGCGCTCACACTATACTTCTCAAGGAAGGTCTCATGCACACTACGCAATTGTGCAAATGTGACTTTATTTGTGCGATTTGTAAAAATTAATACTAACATTACATTACAATTACAATTGAATCAATTTAAGTTTTTTTTAACTTTTATAGTTTCGCAAAATGTTGATACAAAGCATAATAGTTTTGTTCACCTAATGGTTAATACATAATTATACAGGGTCTTCCAATAAAAGTGATATGATTTAAAGAAGCAAAATACACTAATTGTTAAGGAAATTCAAGTGTTTTTTATTTAATGTGAAGTACAATCGATACGATTAAGTTCTGAATGCAACATCATTCAAATGGCCTCCACGACTTCTTTTGCAGGAACAAATGCGATGAATCCAATTTTCGAGTACTTTTTCTACTAAACCAAGTCGTATGTCATGAATAGCACGTGCAATATTGACTTTTAAAGCTTAAAGAGAGAGTCTGGTTTATTAGTAAAGATCAATGACTTTAAATATTCCCACAAGAAGTAGTCTAATGGTGTTAAATCATAACTTCTTGGCGACCATCCAATGTTTCTTGAAATTGTCGAAACGCCAACCTTGCTCGCAATAATTCGGTATTTGCACTTGCTGTGTGCAATCAAATGTTGTCAAGTTGTTGTTGGAAGCTGATGTTGTCAAGATCAACTTCTTTCAATTGCGGCCATAAAAATTTGGTTACTATTGATCTATACCGCTCTCCATTGATAGTAACGGCGTCACCAGCTTCATTTCGAAAGGAGTACGGACCAATGATTACATTAGTTCAAAAATCATACTGTCAGTTTAGGTGAATGTAATAGTTGTTCATGAATAATTTGTGGATTTTTTTTTGCACCAAATTGGACAGTGCACCGCTCAGATGAAGGTTTACGCAAAAATGGCAAAAAATAATTTTTAAACGTTGTTCTTGCGTGTATCTTGCTACGATGAAATTGTAAACATTACTGAATACAATTTAAAAAAATGTACACATTATGACATATTAAATATGGCCTACACTTAGAAATATATTATTAGTATATTATTATCCCTATTGGAAAACCCGATTTATATATATGAATGATCAGGATGACGAGTTGTAATTCGAATGTCTCGATAATAATATACAAGGCTGTTATTTCGTACAACGAATTGCATTAGAAAGGGCCCCTGTGAATGGGAAAAATTTGAAAACCAAATTTCCGAAGGACAAAATTTTTTCATCGTGAAAATGGGTATCTTTTGTGAAAGATATTATAGCTTCGGTGCAACCAAAGTTAAGGTTTTTTTTGTTTTATTTTGTATTTGATTTTGGTTCATTCCATTTCATAATATTCTTGTGCTTTGTTTTTATTTTGTTTTATTGTATTTTATTTTATTTTATTAATATTATTTTTAATAATATTTTTTTGCTACTTCGAATAGTTTCATATTTTTAAATGTTTTCTCATATAATAAATTACATTTACATTACTTCTGAACGATTTAATGCTTTCGCCCGCGCTTTGAACTTGTCATATTTTGTCTTTGACAACCAACTTAGCTTGCGCGCTGAGCTGTCACTCACTTCAACCCAACTCAAGCAGAAGGCGAACGCGTATGCAAGCAATAGTGTTACTAACAAATAAAAGTTTAAATCTGAAGTTTCATAATAAATTCTCCAGTTCGTACAAATAAACGTTTCTCCTCTCTCCGCGCACATTCACACCCTTCCATAGCTGCAAAAATAAATATTACGTATACGCCCCAGCGAACTGACATCTCAAAAAGCAAAAGAAAAAAAAAACAGAAAAAGACGAAAAGACTGGGCAATGAATGGACAACGAAATGCATTTAGTGTGCCATGCCATACATAATATCCCTCCGTTATGCTCCTCTTATTTCCCCTCATCTCACTTTCTTTATCACAGCACCCACGCATTTTTTATTACTCATACAACCCTCTTACTATTTCATGCGGAATTTTGTTGCGGTTAATGTCGGGGTTGAAAGACGCACTATTTGTTATTTACGCCGCTTTGTTTGTTGGTGTTGTTGCGTTTGTACGTTATTTGTTGCTGTCAGCGACACTTGGGCAATAACAATGCATAGTAAACAGAGTGTTGCCACATAAAGAAATTGTTTGTTGCTCACTTTAAGCGAGAAAAGGGTCCGCTAGCGATGCGTCCGTCCCTCTCCGGATCACCATTTGTTCATACAAATACGTGTGGGTGTGCGTACTTATGCATTTGCTTATGTGGGTGCGTTGGCGTTGGTGGTTGTATGGATGCGATCATGCAGGCGTCACTTTGATGGCATTTGGCTCGATTTTAATGCGCTTGTCCTTGCTGACGCATAACGACATTTTCCCCCTTGTTTCTTTAATGTAGCGCAGCTAAAAGCCGTTTTTCTTACTCCCACGTAAGCATGTACATATGCATATCCGTGTGTTGTGCACTTAAATGTCATTATGCAACAGCGTAATGCATTCAGCGGGCGAGCGGAATAAAGCGAAAATT